AGAGAGAGAGAGAGAGTACATATTCCAATAGAGAGTGCTGCAGCCGGGGAGAACTGGTGGAGGACAAAGGTGGAATGGAAATAACGAGAGAACAGATGATGGTTTAGAGGAGTGCATTTCTGTGTGAAAATTGAGGAGACGATGATGACAACGATGGCGATGACGATGATATTGTCGCACTTGACTCCAAGGATTTGGAAAGAGGAGTAACATCATTATTATCAGCAGCAACAACAACCGAGGAGGAGGAGGAAGGAATGGGGAGGAGGAAGACGGGAAAACTCGTTAATTTCAAATTCTTGTGTTCTCTCTCTCCATCAAAGAAAAGAATTTCCCCACCTCAATAAAAAACTGAAAAATTAAATCTCTCTTTAACTATATCCCTTTGTTATTTCTCACTTCCTATCATTGCAAAATGCAAGAGTTTTTCCTTTCTATAGAAAAGAAGGGAAAAAAAAAAATTTTGATCACAACTTTTCCTCTCACTGCTTTTAAGTTTGTTAAGAACCTATGATACATACGGTTTCTACTCAAAATCTCTTGCAGGAAAAAAGAATAAAATAAACAAAAAGAGTGCCCATGTACTTCACACACACTGTGTATAAGCCTCAATGGTCCCTCAATCGATAGCACTCAAGCTGCATTAGCTTACAGGCTGACGGTTTTGACCATTACAACTTCCATGTCGTCGCTCTTTCTTATAACGGGCCTGATCTGGATCAAACCCACCTTCCTCAGCACCATAAACAGCCCAGGAGGGTGTGGCCGCCATGTAATCCTTACCACCAAAGGGCACACCTGAAAGCTGTTTGTTGTGTGTGTGTGAGAGAGAGAGAAAGAAAGAGATTACCAAGTCATGGAACCTTTCATAGTCAATCCAAGTGAACCATTGGCCATTAACCCTGAACTTGTCAGCTCTTGCCAGGAGTACACAACAAGAATGGGTATGTTCGGAGGCAATTTCATATTCGCTGCCACTCTTTGAGGCCAAAACCTCAGAGAAGGCTTTCACATCCAAATACCATGGTACATTCTCCATTGTCAATTTGGAAGTTGCAAACCTAAAAAAATCTCAAGAGGCAAGATGCAATTAAGCAAACAAAACGATAAGAAAAGAGGGAGACATGAAAACCCTCACACAATGAGAAGGATTGAAAGATGGCATACGAGCCACAGTAGGTAACACCCTTTATTTCAACAAAGTCTGGCTTTCCAATGCTGAACAACTCATAGTATGCATCTATGTCCTCGGCATTCCATCCTTTGACTAAAGTCAAGTGGTACACAGTTCTCTGCTCCTTCTCGCGGAGTGCCCTCAATGAATCCTATCAATATTTCAGAATATCAATGGTTAAAACATCTGGTACATAAATATATTCACCGATACAAGATATAACATAGACACCCAGTCGACTGCAAAAGTACAAGGTTTGAGCCATGATATCGAATCCTAAGTTAGCAAAATAGTATCACTGATTTCTAAATGCAATCCAACATGCCCAATATTGTAAAGCGAGGTTTGTGGCCAAAGCAAGTCCAACAATATTTAGTATGACAATCTTGTTAATGGGCTCGCATCTATCTTCTTTAGATGGCCAGCTTCCACGATGGCCTTGCCCAATATTATTTACACTGATCAAGAGAAGATCTATAAGGAGAAACATGAATTCCATAAAATTATGCTCATCAAAAAGCTTGACTAACCCATATGTATGGCATTCCCAATAAAGACACATTTTTTGTGGACAGATGACAAGTAAATTATATAAAACCATCGACCCTATTGATTCATGTCCTGAAATGCAATACAACACATGCCCCTCCATTCAATTATTTGTGTAACACTTGCTTGAGGGGTGCAGACGCCGGCAATCTTGTGAAATGATATTCCAACACTGTTACAGAAAATGAATACGGGGAAGGCAGAGTCCATCTTTCTGAGACCTGAATACCCAAGCAGGAACTATTCCAGATAGCTAGGGAACTGTTCTGCTAAACTTAAACATGCGAGTAACTCAGCCCCTGTAGGACTTATATGTGTATTCGGTATGATTTAAATGAAAAATCGAAGAAAAATGTCATAGAACAAAGGTCGATTACAAGCTTTTTAGATCAATACATGGCAGCATTTGCCAAAAAACTTATGTTGTACCCTCACTTACAACCCACATAAGTGAAATGCCGTTCACCCCTTTCATGAACTAGATAAAATTCTTTCAGAATTCAATGACTTTAAACATAAGACAAATGTATTAAGGTCAAACAGCTCATAGTCAGCCCTTGTCATTTAAGTCTGAGTTATGCCTTTTTTTTCTCCGGATCAATTTCAGCTATATCTTTCTTAAGCAATCAAAGAACTCACCTCCCATCTAAAGACAATTTACTTACAGCGAATCATTCCCAGAAATCCCCAAAGTGAGGTCTGTCTATTGCCTTCAAGCTCTTTTTAGTTGCAGCATCTACACTCACATGCAGCTGGAAATTTATAAAATGTCAATAAGTAAATTATCTGAAGAAACTCCCACTAAATAAATGAGCCAACTACCCTCAAAGCAGAGACCTACATGCCTGCAGCATTTAGACTTTATAATGAATCAAATCAGAGAGCTACATGCCTGTGTAATGGGTTTAAGAAGTCTAATTCTTTCTGGAAACTGGGCATTTGTTAAAAGAAATGTAGAAATCCGTTGCTTGTGCAGTTCATCAATGAGGGCATTGATCTCTGGGTACATGATAGGCTCACCAACAAGGGAAAGGGCACAATGTCTAGGTGAAAGACCTTCAAACAGACGGTCCGTAGTCACTCCTGTATGCCATATAGAAAACCAGTTGAATCATCACTGACTGTAGCATAACACAAGAAAACCAGTTGAATCAATTCACACACACGCTGTCTTCATAATGCATATGTGCTTGTCTTATAGAAGTAGAACCAACCTGGAACTCCTTTCATTTGCTTAATCGTCTCTGTGTGCTCATCGATTGCAGCATTTACAATTTCTAGAGGATCATCTAACTTCCACTGCCAACTCTTCCCAACAGGATTGGTATGGTGCCTTCAACAAAACACACATGTATTAGCACAAGCTAGGCTGGGGGTTGCCTCCATGCACCTATCAAGGAGAAGGGAGAAACTTAAGGAAAAAGAAGTTACTAAAAGTAGTAGATAATTTACATAAAATGAGAAGCAATCATTGCATAAAAAGTGCAATAAATAGGCTGATGAAATACAAACAACCTGACATAAGAGATGATTAAAATTAATAGATCGCAAAGGCTGCTTAAACAGAATGTGGTGGGTACGTTGGGAAAGCAAGAAAGAAGATGTTTTCCTCCTCCTCTTTTTTTATTGTAATAAACTCCCCACTCACCAATATTTCGAAATTCTTTTCCAATAAATCTCAAAGACACAATTATAGTTATTTAACATTTTAAATAAGATCTGCTGATCATCTCATGTTAGGGAGATTCATGTCTCAGCAGTGCAGAAACTAGATTCTTATTTTTCCTTAAGTTTTGATACCATCTTCAGAAAGTATTGAAAAAAAAAAAAGAATAAACCATACAGGCAAAATATTCTTTACACCGTGGTCCTTTATCATCGCATAAAAGAAAGTAACACCATTAATAGAGCAATCTCTCTACAGGAAAAAGTTATACACATATCCCAATTATAAGTCAGCCTAAATCTATTTACTCACTTCAAAAGCTTCTCATGCAGACAACAAGTTACATAAAAAAAACTCTTCAACGCCCTCTACCAGAGATGCATTACCGCATGTGCCTCTGTACATGAAAGATTCCCATGCACGGCCATGCAAATGCACATACACAAATACAGACATGCACACAGACACATACAATTATTTTTATTTATCACTAGAGAATGAGAGTTGCTTATCCCACATTCTCAAACCAAAAATCTTTTCAATGAGGGGGAGTTCTCACCCATAATTTTTTATTCTTCTTGCTTTGCATGCGGTTTATCATTCAAAGAGAACTCACTTAAACTTACTTATATAGACATGGCACTATAGTAAGTAGTAATACTAATCAATAACTTACTAAATCGCTGTTGTGTGCCTCTACATGTTTTCCCTCATTATAAATGAGAAGTGTAGCCCATAGGTTAACCACTCATGAGACCTAGGATGAATGCTATATAGAAACGAAAAGCAATCTACCAAACAAGAAAGAAGAAACAAACACAAAAGAAAGACAACCAACCACAATGCAAAGATATATGTTGGTTCGGCCACGTACCTACGTCCACTCGGAGATAGCAACAATATATATAGTCTCAGGTAGATGGTACAAATTACTAAAATACCTTATATACATATACAAAAATGTACCTCAATGGCTGCCGCCCTCGAAGTCATCCCTTTGTCTCCACCTTGGCAAATCTATTTTCTCATAATACAAGACATCAGTTCTTAACATATTGGTTCTTTCAAGGCACGCCACAATTTAGATAATTCACTCAAAACTAAGAAGATAGGCATTTCATGTATAGAAATTTCTAGAATGGGCAGTCAATTGTGTGCCTCTACTTGTTTGCCCTCATTATAAATAAGAAGTGTAATACATATATTAACCACTCATGAGACCTAGGATGAATGCTGGTTCTCTCAGGGCACGCTACAACTTAGATAAGCCACTCAAAACTGAGAAGATAGGCATCTCACATATAGAAATTTCTAGTTTTGCACATAATTATCTATATAAAAAACAATTAGCATATAGTCTCATTAGATAAAAATAAAAATGAGCATTCAAGCTGGGTCAAATCCACAGGGAGCCCATAAATCAACCATCACACAATTCATTAAAGCAAGATTGCTTCTCAATGATGTCTAAAATTGTTTCGAACATGAGACATTTTGATAGACAACATGATTCTCTCATTATAAGGCACACGTCCATGAACTAACATTCCTAGAGATATATTATGAAGGAGTAGAAATCACAAAATCTTGCCTCCTGTTCAATATTGGTAGTGACAGAAATGTGAACCAGTTCCCTTACAAACTTTAGTCATGTTATAGTTGTAAAGTAGTGACTTTGCTCATACATTCATTAGAAAAGGATACATTAAACTTCCTATAACTGATACATAATAAATATTCTTCATATTCTTCCTTTATAATTTTAATTTTTTTTTTTAATGTTGTAAATTGTTGATTTTATCACTCTTAATAATAGGAGTTACAACTGGAGAACAATTATGCATATTACTTTTTTAGCATCATTTCAATATATACCTTTTTTGTGATAATCCAAATTTATTTATTTATTATTTTTTATGCAACATATGAATGTCATTTCTAGGAAGAAGAATATCATCTACATATAGAGATAAAATAATTAAGTTACTCTTATTGAACTTGAGATAAATGCATTTGTATATAAGATTCTCCACAAACCTAAAAGACCCAAAAGTAATAGGCTATAAATCTAATTTCTTCTTAAAATGGTTATGAGATCTGGCTTCTACCGGGCATCCCCGTATATGCAAATACTCTAATTAGGTATCCTACCAGTCCATAACTTCAAATAGGGTCTTTTTGCCCAGCTTTTTACTACGAACATGATTCTCTATATAAACAACAGTCTCCAGGGTTCCCCATAAAGAAACAAACATATTTGAGTACAAACTATGCTCCTCACTTGACTAATCTCTTAATCCCATACTCTAGCATTTTATGCCACCAAAAAAAAAAAAGGTTTCATTCGTATTTTCATATTTCACATTACACACATGAAGAGATAAAAGAACTTCAACAAAAAAAAAACAGAATCCAAATTCAATTTATATAGGCCATCACATAATTTGAATAACTCACAATACACTTATTATGAAATAAGAAAAAAAAATTATTGCTAAAATTAAATTGAAACTATAAATATCTATTTTCATATTAATATAAGATTATTCCCAACAGTTGGCACATAAAGAGTATCTTTCAAGTCTATTACAAAACTACCATCTAGAATTAAACTAACTACTTCTATTGGATTTGTTTATTCTTCAACTCCATTTACCATCACAAGCCTCCGCTCTCCATGAATGAGTCTCTGATTGTTCATGAATATCTTTATTTTCCAACAACTTCTTATGTTTGAGGCAATCTCTCTTCAAATGTCCATTCTTCTACGAAAGAAGCACTTTTTTCCTTCGCATCATTTTTTGTTTTAATATGAGTAGTAGTCCATTTTGATTGATAATTTGCATGTGTCCCAAAGACTTTATTTTTTGATGCTCTAAAGGTTCCTTTTTTGTCTGAGCTAGTCTTTGCTAAATGGGCAACTTCTATCTTATTTTGATTTAATCTTTCTTCTTCTTAAAGACACATAAATTGAACCTCATTCAAATTCCACCTTTCTTTCTGAGTATTATAAGTGAGCTTGAATTGATGACACTACGAAGGCAAAGAATTGATAATGAATTGTACCAGAACACCCTCTGAAATCTCCATGTCCATGAATTTCAATTGATTTGTGATATCAATCATTTACGTAATATTGTCCCGATAAAGCTATGACCATCATAGCTCATGATCAATAACTTCGTCATAACGGTGTTTGCCACGGCTTTAGTGGGACCTACAAATTGTTGATGTACCTTGATCATGAAACTCTTAGCATTCATATTATATATCTTTTTGTACGATAGTACTCTCATTGTTGGGTTTGGGAGGCTTATCTTCTCGCAAGGCTAAATCAAGATCTAATATACCTAGAGTGATCTCAATCTTTTGCTTCCAATCAGAGAAGTTAGATCCATTTAGAGTTTCAATCCTGGCTAAGTATCCGGTATATGTAGAGGGATTTAGAGCTGCCATGATTTTAAAACAATTATGCTCACAAAATTGTATTTACCCATAAAATTGAGTAATTAACATTTCATTATTTTAAAATCAAGTACCTTTAGTCAACCAATGCACCATCATAACCCCTCCTTTGAGCCGAGATTAATGCATGCAAATAGTCTCCCGTTAGTGGACAATAGTCCTTATGTCCACCATAGGGCTAGTTGATCATAAGCATTATAGATTACGAAGATGTTACTCTTCTGGGTTTAACGCCATCTATAGCTAGCAAGTTGATCATAAGCATTATAAATTACGAAAACGTTACTCTTTTGGGTTTAACGTCGTCTAAGCCTATAGACCACATTTGAGTTTGACTTTATCTGTAAATGCTCAATGCCGATTTATGGGTTACTTGATGATTTACAAGTTTTGTTTTACAAAATAAATAAAAAATATTATTGGAAATCATCAAATATTTTAATACCATCCAAGTTCTCATGATTGCACCTGACAGTTATACAATCATTCCTACTTGGTTGTTTTAAAATAAGGATCAACCACCCTTAATAGACCAAACTAATTTAACATGTCAATTTTTTTCTAAAAAAAAACAAACAACAAAATACAAAAATTATTATAAATCTCTACTATTATCTCTCTACAACCATCGCATAATGTCCCTCTCTATTATTCCTTTGTGGAGAGGATTGAGAGAGAGAGACAACTCAAGTGCACACATCACAAAATAGTCTACTTCACAAAATATTCTACTTTAATGATCTAACTCACAAAACAAACAATTTCATTTGAGAACAATGCCACTATGAGTCTCTTTTGAGTGTTTGTCGGAAGTTTTCTCCAATTTTGTTGAAGATGAACAGTACTTTTAGAGATAAGTGTATGCTCTTTCCACAAGCATCAATGAGATATACTCATTGCCATCAAAAGCTTCTAGTGACTAACCTCCATAATCTGTGCATGCATGGAGAAAAGGAGATGGTAAAGACCTCACAAGACCGTTTGACACGTTTGGTTCATGTGAAAATATCATGAAAAAATTATTTCATGTGGTCAAGTGTGGGAATATTTTTATATCAATTAGTTATCAAATGGTGTGAAAATCTATATTAAGACCAATTGGTATGAAAATATTCTCATACTTGACCGTATGAGAGAATTTTTTTCATGTGAAAATGTTTTCTATTAAACATTTTCATACGAACCAAACTTGCTATAGAGATGGAAGTAGGCAACGGAAGCCATTTTTAGATCAACAAATTTTATTAAAGTAATCATCGAAGATGATCAATCTTGAGAAGTTGTCCGTTTAGAGAGATACGTATAAGATAAAAAAAAACCCTCTTTTTTTTTTATATAAAATATGTATTTTCTCAACTAAGCATCCTGACATCAACTTTATTATTTTTAGTATCCATGAACTAACCTGTTGAGAATTGATGTCTTATATTATGAGGAAATAGGTATGTCAAGGTAGAGTCAAAAGGACAAGTCTAGAGGCCCGGAGGAGTCTCTGGCACAAGTAGACTCGATTGACTCGGCCCCTGCGGGAGTTCGGGGTTGGCAGCCGCCAAGAAAAATTTCGGATAAATCTGTACATGGGATTCAATATATCTAAGACTTGATATATAGGGGTATTTTGATAATTTGTACCATCTATCTGGGACTCGATATATATTGTTACGATTGGGGGTTCATCCAGGGTTAAGGGGAAAAATGTAGATCTCTTTGTAATTAGAGAGAACATAGAGACGTGAGGAAGAGAGCGATTGTAACCATATTCTCCATTGCCAGTAAAGAAGTTCTCATCTCCCATTGACGAAAGAGAGCGATTGTAACCCTATTCTCCATTGGCAGTAAAAAAGTTCTCATCTCCAATGGACGTAGGCACATTGTTGAACCACATATATCTTTGGTTTGTGGTTGGTTGTCTCTTTTTTTGTGTTTGTTTCTTCTCTCTTATTTTCGTGGATTGCTTTTTGTTTCTACATAACCAACCAAGGCTCAGATACCACATGTAAAAATTAACTACAAATTTACAGATTAAGAAATTGGAAATTATGTAAACTTCTTGTTGGATCGATGTTCATGATTACTGAAAAATTAAAAGTAAATGAACACATCTAAACATACTTGCCATGATCTAGTAAAAATTTATTGTTTTGATTTTTGAATTGGTGGGCCTTCACCTCTTTTTTCCTCCAAGCTTGATGGGAACTTTCTTATGAATAATGAGCAAGAGTTGGGATCGCCACCTTCCTTTTCTTTTTCTTAACCCTAACCCATCATACATAGTTATCTTTAAGAGAGAGTGAGGGAGATCACTACTCTTTATCTTAAAATTGGATAACCAACTCTTTATGGATAATATTAGCTTTATGTAATTATTGTTAGACCACAATTAGAGATATTTCTAACCATTACATCCCAAAATCTGGGTTACTAAAATTAATTCTAGATAAAGTTTTAATAGAGAGAATAAAGGACCTGATTTCTATGCGGCCAAGCCTGCATATGTAGAAATGCATGCCTATTAATAAATCTATTTTTTAGATAGATATTTTGACTTAATTTTTAGCAACATGTGATCTCTAACATGGAGATCATGCATATAAAGAAATAAGAAAATTTAAAAAATTAGGAATAATAAATCTAGTAAGAAAACATTTGGACCAGTAGTTCCATTGTTTTTAGATGGAACACCTACTTGCATCCATCTCTAAGATGGATGATGCTTTACATTTTTTGGACCGCATACGTTGTCATGCAGTCCAGCTGCAGGAAGCAATTTTTCGAGAATAAATGCCCATTCTATTCCCTGAGGAAGTAGAATATCTTTTGGCAACACTTTAATAGGTTCTTGTCTATGTCTCCCTTACACAAATCACTTGAGGAATTATCTATTAATCCTAAAAGCTTTTAAAAATTCATATTTAGCCCTAAAAATTTCATATATTCTTAACTGAAGGCAGAAAGTAATACAAAGTTGTTTGAATCAAGATCTCCAGAGTGGGAAATTGAATCATTCGCCTAATTCCTTTAAGAACATGCACATGTTTCGTCCAATAGATCGAAATTCAGATAACATTTTGCAAATTTCATGAAAGTGTGTGCCCATTTCAATGCAAAATTTTACAGAAAATCAAAATGCACGATTAGTCTTAATTTTCCCAAGTCCGAAATTATATTAAAGACTAGCAAAAATGTTATAATCTGAAGCCATTGTAACCAATCAATAAAATTTAGCTGAAATATAAAACCTCACTCAAATAAAATGAAGCGTGAAACATGTGTGTATGTGTGTGTGCGCGTTGGGGGAGGGCGGGCGGGTGATAGGAGTGGGATTTCCTACAACAAAACCTCAAAAAAGGGCTTTGTTGGTGATTTCTCAAGAATCTCCCAAGACTAAGGAATCACCCGAGTTCATATAGTAACTTACCGGTACATGAAAAACTGGGGTGATTCCTAAATTCCAAGTTCAAAGGAGCCCGAGTCGGCTCAGCAATTTTGTGACCATTGCTTTAGAAAAAACTATAAAGAGATTTTCTTTAGGGTTAAAAACATAACTATTATACCAGGCCAGTAAAATGGAGTACTATTGATAGCCAACCTCCATGGACTAAGCCAGTGATAGCTAGTCTCCATGGGCTTAGCCAGTGAGGAAGTTCCCAAGGGAAAATCATACTTGGATCTTAGGCTATTGTTGGCTTGCTTTTGGGCTTTGCGAATCATATGAAATTGTCTCTTAATACATGTTGGGGTTTTTATGGATTTTTAATTCAAGGTTTTAGGAATTCATGATCTAGCCCAAGGTGGTCATGAATTTGAAAAGAGCTAAGATTTATAAATTTTACAAGGGTATTTTTTTTATGGGTGCGGTTTGTATAGAGCCAAGGCTCTAAACAATCAAAGTAAAGCGCACCTTTAAATAGTGTCGAGTATTGTCGTTTTAAGTATTTGTAAAATTTAAAGCTTCAAAAAAAGTGTAGATCAAGCAGATATATGAAAAGTTGAAAATCTTAAAAATTGACGGTCCAAAAATGAATTACAAGATGCACTATTTTCAAAACTGAAAATCTATTTTTTCTCATTTCCATCCATCTTGATGTTGAGATTATCAATTTGATTATATTTGGACATCAAAACAACTCTTCTAGTGAAATTTTTGATGTGCACTTTAATTTGATGGTTTAGAGCCTCGCACTATATAAACTTTTTCTGTTTTTTTTATACTATTTGTGTAGTATTCTGTCGTTTGTAGGCTAGTGGGCACGTAAAACTTTTCCCTTACTAAAAAATTCAGGGGGAAGTTTTAAGAGGAATTGAGAGGGGAAAGAAATCACGATCTCAACTTTCTTATTTAAGATTTCAAGGTAAATTCCACATCTGACAAGATTTGGGCTGCCACTGGGCCAGGAAAGCCCGAGTTTTCCATTACAAGCCCGGCGGACCCAGCCTGGAAAAACGTTTTTGGACCCTAGCCTAAGGCCAACCCACGAAATTTTTCTCAAGCCCGGACCGACCTTATTTCTTTCCTTTCTCTTTTTTTCGAACTTGGCATGAACCTGAAAGATATTATACTCCCGTAGGAGTATACTATCCATTTATTCCCTCACAAAAAAAAAAATCCATTTGGGATTAATTTAGGGCCTCAAATTTTGAGAAGCTAATGTTCTCAACACCTTGAATTAACTGAAGATTTTTTTTTTTTTTAAATTGTACCTTGAGAAAACAATTATCTGAAGATTGAATAGAGTTCGTCTAATTTTAAGTGGGTGAGATCTAATGTTAGAAAACTCAAATTCAATTTTTTTTCTTTTGAGAATAATAATCACTAGATTCTTAGATGTTCCCAAATTTTCAAATTGAAAAAAATCCTCTTGAGTGGTCATATATGAAGGAGGCACTATGCTCCTACTCTTACATAGTATTTGGATGGCACTGAGTTTTGGGGGATTCTGGGACAATGAGGTATTAGTGGTATCTTGTGAGATTGAAAGTTTTCATTTCTAAAACCATTAGAAACTGCTGCGTGATCGAGGGAGATTCATTGAATGATATTAAATAATGTAATAAAAAACAAAGGGTACCTTGGGAGCTGAGATCTTGTTGGCTATAGATAAAGGATTTGGTGGAGTCCTTGTTGATTGCTTTTCTTCATGTATATCAAGAGACTAACTCTTTGGTAGATCTTCTTGTTAAAGGGATAGCAGCGTCTTTGCCATCTTTTTCTGTCGCTTTTGATGTAATTTCTTTCTTTTGAGGCTTTTTAAATAAAATACTAAATTTTATCAAAAAAAAAAAAACAGAAAATATAAAACAAAATAACAATAATAATTAAGGAAAGGGTTGCATGAGTCAGCATGCGCAAGAGCCCGCTAACTCAAAAACATCCATCATAAGGATGGACATTGTATAAGGTGTACGTTCCACAAATTCTATATAGACGGTGAATCAAAAAATATAAAAAATTTATATTTTTAGTGTAATATAATTTTTTATATTCATGATCACCTAGGCTAGATGATGAATCTATAATAAAAAAAATTAGATAAAAAATCCATTTTTCAAATATATTTTAGAGGGGGCAGCCCATCCTAACAATAGTGATACAAAAAAGAAGTGGGAGGGTTCTTTGGCAACTTTTTTATTGTTAGGGGGTAATGGCCCGACCTTGAAAATGTACAGTCTCGACTACAAACTGTAGCCCTGACACCACCCTCTTCTTTCTTTTTATTTTGGGTGAAGTTTTTCTTAACGATAATAAGCCTAATCTCAAATCCTCAAAAGCATTTTCGGAAGCAAAAATCTTTATGGTGGCTCTATATTTAAAACTTAAAGGAAAATGTTTATATAAGGATGTTACCTTATAATGTAGAACTACGAATGCCCTTCAAAAATCCATTGAAAAATGTAGTTTTAATGTTGAAAAACCTTTGAAAAATGTAGTTTTAATATTGAAAAACCTTTTGATTGATCATCTCGACATCGAAATGTATGACCATGAAAAATAAAAAGATTTTAAGTCTCAAAAATAGTGCATTTTGCAACATATTATCTACCTCGTTTCTTTTCAAGATATTCATATGGTTATAGATCTACTTGATTTTAACCATTTTTAAAATTTTAAATTTTATAATTAAATATAAAAATAGATTTTTAGATGATCTTAATATCATTTTACATCAAAATTATATACTATGATAAAATTTGAAGGGTACTGTATCTCTACACCTATAGAGGCCTCCACACGGCAACTTCACCCAAACATAAAAAACACTCACAGATCTTGTAGATCTATGACCACTCATCTTCAAGGCAAAATAGATGGTTTAGAAAATTTATTACAATATACACTATTTTTAGAACGTAAAATCTTCTTTTTTTTTGGTACAACCATAATGTTAAGTCGAGATGATCGATGTAAAGGTTTTCTATAGGGGCACGGTCCCTATGAAGACAAGAGCCGGGGCCGGCCGGCCGTGCCCAGTCCTGGCCCGGGCCATCCGCATATTGAACAAAATGATCATATTGCGGGGATTCCCAGAAGCAAAAAATTTACGGCATGAAGCAAATATTAAACAGATCTCTCTCTCTCTCTCCTCGAAAATTTGAAATTAGGGTCTGCACCTCTCTAACCTCTGATACTACATTCCATGGCTTTTGCATCAATGAAACCCTCTGCGTCTCTAAACCCGACTCCCCAGCCTCAGCCTCTAGGTACCTTCAATGGAGAAGAGAAGACCGCGACTCTTCTTGTTCGCCATTTGCCGGAGGCCATCCCTCATGAAACCCTATCTCGGCTTTTTTCTCATTATGGCGCGTCTTCTGTGCGCCCCTGCGCTGGAGGGAGGTGAGCTTTCTGAACTTTCTTTTAATGCCGTGGATTCCTTCCATCGAAGCTCTCTGGTTCTCGGGTTTTTGGTCCGTGAAGTTTTATTTCCTCAGTTTTTATGTTGGAATTTTATGGGTTTGTATTATAATAATTTTATGACGATTGGATGATAATATTTTGTTTTTTTCTTTTCTTTTTTCCTGGGGTGGAGTTTTCTTTTTGTCGGTTAAATTATCTGGTTTTTGTTTTGCTTATTTTTGTTTTTCGTAGTTTGGAGTTTTGGTTTACTTCTATTAGAAAAGAAAGATCAATCGAAGTGTGCAGAATTAAAATTCTAAGACTTTGGCCAAAGTGGGGATTGAGAATTTGAAAGCCTTATTATTATTAATCTTTTTTTTTTTCTGAAAGAATAATGGGATGTGGTTTCCGAAATTTGAATTATAGGGAAAATTTTCACAAACTTCAGCTGCAAATGGATCCAAAAGAATGCCATTTTGGATTCATTCAGGACCTGTTCAGGACCTGCAACTGCATGTCGTCATAATTTATCAAAATTCAGACAATGATTTTCACTGAAATATATATATATTTTTTTATCACGTTAACCTTTAATAATTAAGAGAAAAAATATTACAAGAGTCCTTGGCAATCCACAAGCGAGGATGCTCAAGGAGGAGAACAAACAAAAAGCAGAGTCAATAACCTCTTAAAATAGGTACAAAAAGCCGATTCAAAAGCCTCTTTTAAGAGGTTACAGTGAGGCACAACAATCTAGGAAAACAGGTTGATTCGCAAAATGGAGGAAAGGGAAAAAAACCAAAACGGAAGATCTAAATGTTAGCTGAAGCCGCTGCTTCTTTAGCCAATGAGTCCGCATCCTGATTTCCTTCCCTCCAAGTATGCATCCACACGACGGACATATTCCTGCAAAGATTGTCAACCTCGCCAAAGACGTGTGCCAAAGACCAAGGAGGGGGTGAAGAAGAAAGAGACTGTGCCCATGTGATGGTATTCTTTGAATCTCCCTCCACTACAAGTGAATGCAATTGAAGGGTTGCCTGAGTTTGAGGCCTTCCAAGAGGGCTAGTGCTTCAGCCTCCATGGAGCCATAGTGGCCAATGTATTTTGAAGTTGTAGCCATAGTAGTACCGAGGAGGTCTCCGAGGTTAGCTCCTATCCCTGACAGGCCGGGGTTACCTAGAGAGCATCCGTCAAAATTGAGTTTAAGGATACCCGGAGGAGGGGGTTTTCATCGAGAGGCCCTTTGCAAGCGCAGTTGATGGAGTAGAAGGATGTTAGTCCTGTCTTGGCTGAAAGCCGAGGCAGCAACTCCTTTGAAACACTTATGATTGGTCGCCCATAATATTACCATGGACTTGAGCTTATTGAAAACTTTAAAGGAAGTTGAGAATTCCCCCCTGAAATTTGTTGTTGCGCTCGAGCCAGATGGCCCACAGAGCAGTTGCCACTGTGGATTTCCAAAGAAGAATTCCAGCGTTCTGCCAAGGGTAAGGTTGGATGGAGGTGAGGATGGAAGTCACCTCTTCTGGTAGCACCCATTGCATGTTGAACAATTTGAGGATAGAGGTCCAAATGTTAAATGCAAATGGACAGTGCAGTAGTAGATGGTCATTAGTCTCTTCAGCTTCGAGGCACTTGACACAACGATTAGGGATTGGGATCCCTCTTCTTTGCAATTGATTTATAGTGAGGACTCTCTGGGAGAGGGCCAGCCGCATGACGATCTTGATTTTTGGTGGAGTGAAGGAGGTCCAAGCTTTAGGGCCAATGGCATTAGGAGTTAGGGGGAAAGTTGGTGGGAGAGAGAGACTGTTATAGAACGAGGAGACGGAGAAGGTTCCCGTTGGGGACGGAGACCAAATAATTCGATCTTGACTCGAGGGAGAGAGGAAACAAGACTGAAGTTCAGCAGACAAGTTGGCAAAGTTTCCTATCTCTTGCTCCGTGAGAGATGTTCCAAGAACGAAATGAACCTGCCAGAAGCATTTCTTGGGCCTCTTGATTTCTGGCCAGAGAAAAAAGATAAGGAAATCTATCCTAAGAGGAGTATGACCCCGTCAAAGGTCATGCCAAAAAAGGATGCGATTTCCTTCTCTTGGGTGAAATCTTATGCAAGATTTGAATGCAAAGAAAGCTGAGCAAATAGACCTCCAAAAACCAGAAGACCTCTGGTTTGTTATGAAATCTGGCAACTAAGGGGAGTTTGGGAGATGGTATTTGTGTCCACAGCTGGTTATTTAAAGTTGACATTCTCCATCACCATTTGCCCAGCAAAGCTGTATTTTGAGTTCTGAGATTCTTGATACCTAACCCTCCCCTTTTCTTGGTCTGGCGAAGTTTAAGCCAAGCAATCAAATGGAATTTATTGCTTGAATCATCGCTTGACCTGAAAAATCTCCTCATCAATTGTTTGATTCTGGAGCTAACCGCAACGGGCATGTGGAAGATAGACATTTGGTACACCGGGATGTTGGCGAGAGTCGCTTTGATTAAACTAAGTCTTCCTCTTGGAGAGAGGAATCGCCCTTTCCAGCCAGCTAAGTTGCGATCCACCGTGTCTACTATATGGGACCAGAGGCTTGTTTAGGTTTTCCTATGCATAGAGGTAGTCCAAGGTATTAAGAAGGCAAAGACTCTACCCCACAGCCCCAGAAAGCAAAGTCCGAGAGGGTGGTAGAATCAACATGAACCCCCATCATCTTGGTTTTATCGAAATTAACTTTGAACCTGGTTGCAAAGTCAAAACACCTTAGGAGCAGGAAAAGGCTTTTTATTTCATCGTGGTCAGCATTGCAAACGATCTAGGTGTCATCTGCGTATTGTAGGTGGGTTACCATGGGGGGCCGAGGACCCACTGAGAACCATGCAAGCGTCCTACCGAATACATTCTTGAAAATTGTTCTACTAAATATCTCAACTGATATGGCAAAGAGGAAGGGGGAGAGATGATCCCCCTGTCTGAGCCCTCTAGTGGAGGGGAAGTAACCTTTAGGGGTTCCATTAATGATAATAGAAAAGTATGGATGTGAGTAGCAAGCTCTCATATATGTCCTCCCCTAATTCTAAAACCCATCATAGATTGAGTTTCTTCAAGTAGATCATGGTCGTAGGCCTTTTTCCAATTAAGTTTAGCTACGATTCCAGGTGCCCTGTTCAAATATCTTGAGTGGATGCATTCATGGGCCACAAGTGCCCCATCCAGGATCTGTTGATCTTTGATAAAGGGACTTTGAGTGGGGGAAATAACAAGGTGCAAGACCTTTTTTAGCCTAGAGGCTAAGACTTTGGCTAGAATTTTATAGGTGGAGTTCAGTAGGCTGATTGGGCGAAAGTCTTTGCGTTGGGTTCCACCTTCGATTTTTGGGATGAGTGAGATGAAGGCTGCATTCATGGTCCTGTATTACTCCCATGGAATGGAATTCATTTAAGAAATTTAGGAAGTCTTCTCTAAAAGAGGACCAAAACAGTTTGAAGTGGGCGATGGGGAAGCCATCGGGTCCAGGGGCTTTGTCCGAATCCAAGTCAGAAATGGCAGCTACAATTTCTGGTTCAAAGAACGGTTTTTTTAGCCAAGAAGCTTTCTTCGATGGTAGAGTTAGAAAAACCAAGTTCCCCATGGGAAGTCGAGGACCAGGGGGAGCGGAGAAAAGTTCTTTGAAGTAGCCAAGGATGGCTTGCTCAATGTCGGAGTATCAATCAAGTTCATTGTTCCCATCGGTGAGATGGGAAATGTAGTTATCTCTGTGCCTACAGTTAGCTGTTTTGTGGAAGAAACCGGTGATGAGATCACCAGCCTTCAGCCACTTAATCCTCGACCTTTGGTACCAAAAGATCTCCTCTTTCTTTAGGAGAGATTTGTACTGGACCTTTAGGTTATTCCTTTGAAGCAGGTGTGAGTTCGAAAGAGGTCCGGACTCTTCCAAAATATCAAAGGACTGGATAGCCTGAAGCGTGGAGGATTTCTGTGGCCTGACAATGCTCGGAAGTGCCCTACTCCAATTTTTTAGGGTGGCCTTCAATAGCTGTAGTTTATGTTGAAGCTTGAAGCCAGCCCAACCTTGTACTAGGTCTAAAAGAGAGTGCCACCAACTCGGGAAGAGATTAAGGAGAGAGGGTTCTTCTAACCAGGTAAGTTCAAATCGGAAAGGTTTTGGGTGACTGTCAACAAGCTTCGTTTCCAGCAGAATGGGGCAATGGTCTAAGGTGGGTTTGGGGAGAGCGATTGAATGGGTTTCAGGGAAGGTAGATTCCCAATCCAAAGAGATTAGGAATCTGTCCAATTTAGAGAGGGAGGGGTTGGTGGAATGGTTGGACCAGGTGAACCTGGGTCCTTGAGAGGGTAAATCAACTAGGTTGTTGGTTGCCACGAAGTTTGAGAAGGCTAACATGGCAGGTGTGATTCTCGAAGAGGAATTTTGTTCAATCACATTGTGTTAAAACCTACTAACTAATTTCCTCAACCTTGAAAGTTACTTAGCATGCTTCTAAGGTAGGAGAGTTTTTCTCCCCTCAATTTTGTACTTAGAAGTTATTCTTTTTCAGATTTCAGTGAAAACCGGCCATGTGGGAAAGAGTTGGACCTAAAGCCTAGCTCCCTCACCCTGTGTGGTGTATTGGCGGGGACTTCAACATAGTAGCCCAACTTCTTTACTAGTAGCGTTGAAGTCCCCGCCAATACACCACACGGGGTGAGGGAGCTGGGCTATTAGGTTCAACTCTTTCCCACAAGGCCGGTTTTCACTGAAATCTGAAAAAGAATAACTTCTAGGTACAAAATTGCGAAGAGAAAAACTCTCCTACTTTAGAAGCATGTTAAGTAACTTTCAAGGTCGAGGAAGTTAGTAAGTAGGTTTTACAACAATGTGATTGTTCTCTTTTTGAAATGATGAATTGATTAGGATTTGGGAAACAGTGAAATCGTGCATGTCTTAACCATGTGTGGAATGATTCAAGGGAAACAATTCATTGTGTAGAGTTGGGAAAAAGAGTTTGGGAGA